CGAGAGAGGAAACGTTCTAGGGGCATTTGGAATTACAGCGTACGATTTCGATGAGACTTGTAGACGGTTCATGTTTTGTGCGTCGAGTAGTCTGTATACATGCACGGATTGGAGAATTGACGAAGAGGTAAACACAATTTCAAAGTTATAAAGCGCATAAATTTAATTATATGTTGCTCAATAGAATGGACGAATCGGAAATTTTGGACCCTTGAATAGAATGCGTGATCACGAAAGTAATTACGACGTGTTAATTGTTTTAAATCTGTGGAAAATGGACAGTAGTGAATATTTTCGAGTGTGATCAGTAATTGATATATTTCACAAATTTACTTTACCTTTCTAGCGACTCGTTTGTTATACATTTTGTTGTCTATCGTGTATGTTATTTAATAGTATCATGTTTTATTCCTTTGACTATTTATAGGTTGTTTTTGTATATAAAAAAACGTGTTGACCATGATGAAATATTGCATCAACCCCTCTCATGTTTCATCTAGATCCCCTGGGATGTGCACAGTTTCCAACCATCCCTCCCTTCCTAGGTAGGCTAAATGCAAACCAATCCTTCTTTACCGTAAAACAAGGCAAGTTTCATTTAAGATTCATGTATTCAATACATACAGCAGAGCATTTATCAGGTTATGGCCATTAGCAGGTTGAGCCCCACCTTCTGCCCCTTCTGCCCCACTGACTGTGCAGTGGGACCTCTCTTTACATTACACTTTACCTTTACACTTTACCTCACTTTGCACATTATTATTATTATATATAGTCAGTGATGGATCCAGACTTGAATATAAGGCGGGCCAGGATTGAAAAATTACCTGACTGAAAATTCTTCAGCCCTTGTAACCCAAATTACTGATTACAGAATATGGAGCCTCTCAAGCAATGAACTACTCATTTTACACAACAACAACAACAACAACAACAAGCTTTATTAATTCTTTGGTTAAAGTACATAGATTTTCACCTCCCGCAAATTAGCAGGGCTATTCGAGGCGGGAGGTGACGAAAACAATTATAATAAGGGTAGCTACAGTAGGGTTTTAGTAATAATAACAAATAATAATTACACTAGATTCTACTGTTGTTGGTATGACCCCTTATGAAGACATGATTTCAATGTCTGACAATTAAAATAATGTTGATCCTAGGAGTCAGTATAGGTCTCTACATGTATGTGTGCCGTTTCAGGAAAATAATGTCAAAATAATTAATCAATTATACCCTTGTGTCATCTGTTTTTTATTAATCTCTACCTCCTTTTCCTCTAGGATGAAAATAGACAGCCAATAATTCCAGAGGAGTTACATTCGCGGACCTCAGAGGCAAAAATGGATGCTAAATTATGCCCTTGTGATCCCAACTTAGTAGCTTTTGTTCATCGTAATGACATTTGGATTAATAATATTATCACAGAGGAAGAAAGAAGACTGACTTATACAAATCAAGGCTCGCCGAGTCCTATGGAGGAGCCTGTTTCTGCTGGTGTTGCATCATTTATCGTTCAGGAGGAATTTGATAGATACACTGGCTACTGGTGGCAACCAAAATTTAACACTGATGAAAGTAAGTAACTGAATAAACATGGTCCAGAACTGGCAAATTTAAGGCTTCTGCATGGCATGCAAAGCTGAAAACTATTAATTTATTAAGCCCCTGATAATAATGCAGAGCCAAATGATCTGTCATAAAAAGAAATATACCACACAAACGTTCAACACAGCCTGACTGACTGATTGAATGTCTGACTTACTGTCTGTCTGACTGACTGACCGACCGACCGACCGATTGCTATTGCAAAGCCTTTTGATACAAGCATAAGCACAGGCACAAGAGTCCATACAACAGTGAGAAACACAAAGCTTGCGCTTGTGTTTCTCAATCTTTATATGAACTCTTGTACTTGTTTGTTACAATAGGTATTGCTCATTAATCATCAACCAATGTTATGCAATCGTGTACTAGGATCAAGGTTAATGTTCTCGTGTTACTGTTGTCAATTGTACTCTCAAATTGAGCTGAACTAATAAATATAATAGTACAAGGATCTGTTCCCTGTTAGTGAACAACGTTTGAAACATGGTGGCAGCGGCCGGATTTATCTAGTTAAAGGTTTGGGTGCTAGACAGCAACGTCGAAAAAGCAAGGAAACCTGGAAGAAATGCGGATCAGGCAGAGAACGCAGCGACGAGTGGAACTCAAGCGGCACCGCCCCCAACTCTGGGAACCGCAAATGTCTCAGTAGTGTCGAAGATGCACAACGCCTGAATGGTTTCGTGGCCTACCTATCGAAGTTTATGCCTAAACTTGCCGATGTCATGGAGCCAATCCGACGGCTGACCCGCAAAGGAACAGAATGGCGTTGGTCTTTAGAGCAAGAACAAGCGTACGAGAAAGTGAAAGAATTGGCGACCAAAGCCCCAATACTAAGCTACTATGACCCCACCTGCCAGCTGGAGGTCCAATGTGATGCAAGCCAGAAAGGACTGGTGCGGCTCTGATGCAACGTGGAAAGCCTATCGCATACATTAGTCGTGCTCTGACTCCAATGAGCAGCGCTACGCGCAGATCGAGAAGGAGTGCCTAGCCATCGTGTACTCTCTGGAACGATTCCACCAGTATACGTTTGGCCGAAGCGTCTTAGTGCACAGCGATCATAAACCATTGGAGTCGATCCTAAAGAAGCCTCTAGCAAGCGCTCCCGACGACTACAAGGTATGATGATGCGCTTACAGAAGTATGACGTGACAGTCTGCTACGAACGTGGCAAGAATATGTTCTGGCCGACCTACTCTCAAGAGCTTACCTCGCAAAGACGCCGAGCCTACAGACGAAGAGTTCGAATTCGTCAACATGGCAAGCTACGTGCCGATTTCAGATCCAAGGCTGGAAGAAATCAGGCAGGAAACTCAGAACGTGAATCGTTACAAGTTCTAATGAAGGTGATCTTGCAGGGCTGGCCAGATGACAAGTCTTCGCTTCCCACACTAGCCCTCCCATACTTCAATCAGAGGGATGAACTGACCGTTCAGAATGGTCTAATCTTTAGAGGTGAACTGTGGCTCATACCAACTAAGCTACGCGAAGCAATGAAGCAGAAAATACACTCGTCACACATGGGTACTGAAGCATGCCTCAGACGAGCTAGAGAGTGTATATTTGGCCTGGTATGTCGGCGGAGATGAAGCAGTTAGTGGAATCATGTGAAACGTGTAGGAAGTACGACTGCGCGCAACCAAAGGAAAACACTGAAGAGCTCTGAAATACCAGTACGATCGTGGCAACGAATCGCTACTGACCTGTTCTCGTACAAAGGCAAAGAGTTTCTCATCACTGTCGATTACTACAGCAATTTTTGGGAAATTGACCAGCTTCCCAGCACTAATGCGACTACTGTGATTACCAAGTTGAAGAACCACTTTGCCAGGTACTGGTGCCCTAATACCGTGATCAGCGACAACGGTCCTCAGTTTTCCTCCCGAGAGTTCGCGCACTTCTCAAAGTCATGGGAGTTCCAGCACCGCACCATTAGCCCTGGCAACAGCAAGTCCAACTGCAAAGTTGAAGCGGCAGTTAAAACAGCCAAGCAGTTATTGCGGAAATCTCAAGACATGCACTTGGCACTCCTGGATCACCGCAACACACCTACCCAAGGGATGTCCAGCAGCCAGCCCAGCGCCTCATGAACCGCAGGACCAAAAACTCTACTGCCGGCCACTGAAAACCTGCTACGGCCACAAGTACCAGACCAAGAGGAACAACAACGCCTTCTGCGCAACGCCAGCTAACACAAGCTCACTATTACAACAGGACAGCCCAGGATCTTCCTAAGCTGGAAATAGGCGACGTAGTCCCGCATGAAGCCTATCAGTAATTACGATCGTGTCTGGCGAAAGGCAACCGTGGCTCAGAAGGTGCATGACAGGTCGTACGTGGTTGAAACCCCTGAGGGAGGCACTTATCGTCGTAACCGCTATCACTTGAGAAAAACCGGAGAATCGGCCCCGCCTAGACCTGTCGACCCCATAGCGGTTAACACCAGAAGAAAAAACAGTAGGATTAACTCCTCAGCATGAAGACCAGCCAGCAACATCTTCAAGCAGTCCAGCAACTCCTACTCCTACTGTTCCAGCCCAGGTAGAAACCCACACAAGGCCTACCCGAGATAGACGACCACCTTCCTGTTTCAAGGACTATGTCTGTTATTAACTTTGATTGAAACTGTGTGATCACAAGAACTAAATGCTATAATTATATGAACGATTAATGAAACACTGCTGATTTTACTAGACTTTAGAACATTGATTTTAGGAGAAATTCAACTTGCAAAACGAAGGGGATGTTACAATAGGTATTGCTCATTAATCATCAACCAATGTTATGCAATCGGTTACTAGGATCAAGGTTAATGTTCTCGTGTTACTGTTGTCAATTGTACTCTCAAATTGAGCTGAACTAATAAATATAATAGTACAAGGATCTGTTCCCTGTTAGTGAACAACGTTTGAAACACTTGTGCTGTGGCTTATGCTTAATAAATAAAACAGACACAGCCAATCAAAACTTTGTTTAATGAGGGCAACACATGTATGTTATGTAATAACAGTCTAATGACAGGTAAACTTCTGGCCCTCAAATCCAACATTGAAAATTTGTCATTTAGAAGTGTTGGGCTTTGAGGAGGGCGGAAATTAAACCATAGAACCAGTAGAGAGAACCAACAACAAGCTGAACCCACATTCCTTCTAGCTGAATCAAATCCCTCTCTCCAAAGTGCTTACAAGTGTCACAAGTGAAAACCAGAGTAGCCATATTTTTTTCTGTGAACGTGAATATTTATTTAGTGTTTTATTTGTATAGGTCTGACAAGGACTTACAGAATTTTATTTGAAGAGGTAAGGTATTAAAAAATATCTACATAGTGTTATTTATGTTTGTCTCAGATTAGCATATAACAGATTTTTTTAAATTATGGCTTAGTTGTGGTAAATGACATCGTGGCCTAATGGTTAGTGTGTTGGACTCTGGATCGAGCGGTCCTGGTTCGAGCACTGGCCAGGGTCATAGGTTTGTGTTCTTGTGCAAGACACTTTACTCGCAGTGCCTCTCTCTGCCCAGGAGTTATAAATAGTACTGGTAACAAAATGCTGGGGGCAACCTACGATGGACTAGCATCCCATCCGAGGGAGTAGCAATACTCCTACTATTTTGCTCATGCTGCAGAAACCGTGATAAGCTCTAGCTGGCAGTGTGGGCCAGTTTGGCCCGAGTGCTTTACCTTGTTTATAGATTATTTTTTTAGTTCATATTAGGAGACTTCAGAATTATATTTTCTGTATTAATTTTATGGTAAAACACAAATGGATGTTTTTGAAATGAGAAAAGCTGTCACAACACAAGTGGATGTTTTGGAGCTGCAGGCTCACAAGTGTTTCCACACCCATGTCGCAATAATTGTAACACTTTGCTAGAACAATGATTATATACTCAACTCTACAGTGTATATGGAGCCAAGGAAAGAAACATTTGATATTTCTTTGTGTAATAAATGCTCAAATAATTTTCTATGTACATGTATGTAAAGAAAGCATCACAGTACATACTGCACACTGTACTAGTGACTTGTTTATTTCACAATTTTTTATTATTGTGAAATAGATCAATGTATTCTGTTTTTCCTGCAGTAGAGTTGCAATAATACGTCAAGTAGATGTTTGAGAAAGCTGCGAAAACAAGTTTAAAGTCATATTGCTTGTTTTTCACAGCAATTGAATTTAATATAATTATGATTTCGATTTTAGACTTAGCACCATAAGTAAAAGGTTTGTTGTTTTAACAGTGTATGAGAGCTCTGTAGAAAGTTCTCCATATTGTCTCTGGCCAGATAGTATGGCACGTAACAGTCATGTAGATAGCTACAGGTATCCTAAAGCTTCATCCAGGCCACCTTACACTTCTCAGCCAATCACATTCACAGGTTGTCAACAATAGAATCTGAGTTCATTCATGCTTAGACCAATCTATTTTTTTGTAGAGTGAATAGCCTAAGCCATGGGAACCCGCTGTCATTAGCTGCTTACATTCACTGACTTACAAACAACCCTGAGACCATCAAAATAATCCTAAATCAACCAACAAAAATCATTTGCTCTTGATTGGTAACAAGTATTAGGGGCCCCTGGTGAAGTCGCTTCACGGCGAAACCTGCCTGTTCAAATATTTTGTTGTTTTTCCCTGGCTTTATGTTTTTTTTCTTCAAGTTGTTGCTATTTTGATTAATCAAGGGTCTGTGATCCTGTTATTTAAACCCTGCTTCTTAGTGGTTATTATTTTCTATATTAATTGCAAATGAAGGTAATATCATAGCCAATTGTTTTAATAATTAATACATAGCCTCGCACACACAAGCTGGCAGCTGCAAAGGTCAGAGCACACATGTCTGCATGTGCAATGTATATGTTGTGGTTTAAATTTATTTTTGGTTAAAATTTTCAAACCTGTTTGATTTTTATTTTCCTTTGTTTCAGATTATGGTAATGAATATTAGACAAGGAAAATAATGAACCACAACATATACCAAATAGAAAACGTTTTCTGTGTTTCTATAGAGTTATGGTAACACAAGTGAAGTTTTGGGAGAACGAGAAATGCCTGCGGCTTGTGTTTCCACAGCAATTTCGAGTTCTCCCAAACTTTCATGAGTGTTACCATACAGTGTAATTCTATGGAAACACAGGGAAAACGTTTTCTATTGCTTTTATGAAATAAAAGCACAAAGCAATTTTCTATGTTTCCATAGAGAACTTATGAAATTAGAAATTTCGAATTTAGAAATTTATTTTTCCTCCTTATTAAAATAATGTAGATAGTATATACTATATGTTCCGATGTATGTAATTTTTTTAGATGCACGACCCCATAAGCTGTAGCTTTTATACTTATCGTGTTGAAATAAAGGCTTTTGTATTGTATTATGGTAAATGGTTTTGAGCCAATCAGAGTGCACATAGTAACTAGTATCTTGTTTATTTATAATAATTTTACTATAATAGGGTTCAAAGTTCTTGAAAGTCTTAGTACATTGTACATTAATTTGATATAGTCCTTGAAATTTGTCATTTTCCAGAAAATATCCATATCTCCCCCACGGAAGGTTTCTTGGTTTGAACCCCCTCCCCCAGGAATTTCCAGTTTAGCTTCATACTTTCCTTTTAAAATTTTGCCTTTTGAGACCCCCCTCCCCCTCGGAATTTCCAATGACCTTCCTTGGGATGGTTATGGATATTTTCTGGAACCGCACATTTTGAATCCAGTGGCAAAAATAATTCAATGGAAGCCAGCGACCAACTTGGCCTATTATAGCTACATTTTGTAGGTGTTGTATTGTACGTACATAATGTCGTCATTAATGATTTTGAATATGAGCTGAATAATATTTTTATTAAGCGCATGTTTGTTACAATATCATATCCCAAAACACTTATTATAATAATAATACATTACTTCATCAGCCAATCAGAATGCAAGAATCTGAGTGAGCTATGTAATTCTAATTCCAGCTACTATTTTGTAGGTTCTCCTAATGCCAAGTCCAAACTTAAAATTGTACAGTTCAGCATTGACACGAGTGGAAAGGTAAGTTCTCATTGTTTGGATACATGTATCTGCTCAACATTGTACATACATTTCAGGGAATCGTTTCATTCAACCTCGTCCCCAGGGCCATCTCCACTTTCAAGATGGCGGATGGGCACGAAGAAGATCCTGGCGAACAGCAGGTCACGTACACGTCCAAAAATATTGGAGATTTTGATTGTTTCAAAATGGCGGCAGGCTCGCGATTGGCTAATTTTGTGGTCACGTGACCTGCTCTTCGCCAGGGTCTTCTTTGCGCTGCCATTTTGAACGCCGAGAAGACTCTGGGGACGAGGTTGCATTTCATTATGTACAATCATAGTTAGAGGGAAATGGTTATGAAGCCCTGCAAAGTTCTGTTATATGTTTTTGTTCGCTATGTTGGAGGTTGACGTGCACAAAACCTGACAAAATACAATAGGTGGTTACGTGTGTTCAAGCAACTAACCAATAGAAACGCTGCGATTACGTAATTCATGCATAGTGTATGAGCGCAAAACAAAAGATGTGCACGGTCATGACCTTCCAACATAAATCTTGGCCTCTTTGTTTGCTCCTTTGAAGTTTCCAGGCTTCATAACATTTCCCTCTATTAACTATGGTCAATGTAAACCCTGGCTTCCATGTACAACTGATTATGCATGTATTGTGTTCTCATTTTGTTTAGATCTGTGATCACGTGATTGAGTATCAAATGAGGGTACCCCTCTCCGAAGCATTTCCATTTATGGAATATCTTGTAAGGTGTGGCTGGCTGCCAGATGGCGAAAGGTGAGGCAATACTAAAAACACTAACTGCCAGGAAACGCTGGAGTCTCTAACCTCGGGGTAATCCCTGTAATGGACTATACTGGGAGGCTACGCCCGAAAGGGGTCCTTTTTAGGGTCGAGGTATATGAACGGGTAGGGATTTCACGAGTTGAAGTATAGAAAAGGGTAGGATTTCACAAGTTGAAGTTTAGAAAAGGGTAGGGATTTCATGAGTTGATGTATAGAAAAGGGTAGGGAAAACTGTCATTTAGGTGTTTAAAAGTGCCTTTCAAAATATCTCGAACAGACGCACCTAACGGCTGATTCATCCAATATTTTAAGGGGCTATTCAAGCGAAAAGTTTAGTAAAAGTCGTAAAGGATGCAATGACATTTCAACTGTAGGTATGTGAAAGGGGTACCATTTTCTATTGAAGGTATATTAAAGGGTTACATTTTCAGTCAAAAATGGTATATAAAAGGGTAAGGGTTTGGACCTCGGGGCGGAGCCTCCCCGTATAAAACTTTGTTCATTACCCCACCCGGGTCTCTAACCCACACAAACATACATTTGTACAAGCTAAATGCCAACACAATATACATGTATAACTGCCCTGCTTCAACAAGCACCCAAACCTGCCACAAGACAGGCAAAGGTGTTGCCTTGCTCCTTGTGGTTAACTAAGTTAAATGAAGTTAAATGCAATTTAACTAAGTTAACCAACAACGAGTGTGCAGTCAGCTGTCATAGTGGTCAGCGGTTCTTAGCTCTTGCCAGGCTCAGGAGTCCATGTTCCTTGGATGTAATGGTGTGGTGTTATGCGCTCGTATCATGGCGGTATTTCAGTGATGTTTAGCGAGTTCTTCCCCCTCCCTCCTCCCCCTTTTCTCCCTTTCCACTGATCTAGTCAGTGTGACGGGTGCTTGGGCGTGGGGCTCATGGCTGGTTGGCGGGGATTGCCAGCCATGGAGCTGTATTCCATCCGGGGGGCTGACTGACCACAGCGGAGGCCCCCTGGATATCCCAGGCACCCATCCTCCATATATATACGAGGCAGTTGGTTAACTGTATTTAATGTTTTAAGCTTAGGACTGAAAGTGAATTGAATTTTTCTGACTTTCAGTGTGTACGCCGAAATACTTGATAGAAATCAACAGCATCTTGTCATGGTTCAAATTCCTGTGACATTCTTTGTTGCTGTAAATCATCCCGCCAATCAGTTATTGACGATCACAGAAGGCAGTCCTATGGTCGAGGTGTTAGCTGAAGAATCTAATGATATATGGATAAATGTAAGGAAATACTGTACAGCATTATTATGCCCTTCTAGCAGTTAACTTGTGAGAGGTGCAGCAGCAGTTCGAATTGAGTTTCAGCCTTAGCTGGGTTATTTTTGTTGTGTTCTTACACAAGACACTTGACTCTCTCAGTATCTCTCTCTACCAAGGAGTTATAGACCGATTGCATAAATTGCTCCGAATTTGAATAACAATACTTTAGAAAACCTTAGCCTTTGCTTATGTTTCCAGACAAAGGATTTCTCCCATCAATGTTTTCTAAAGTATTGTTATTCAAATTTGGCGCCATTTATGCAATTGGTCTACGGGTACCAGCAAAATGTTCAGGGCAACCTGACAAAAATTCTGGGGTAGCCTGTGATGGACTAGCATCCCATCCAG